ATTAACACTGCACTGAGAGAGAGGGGTTAATACAGACACACTGACTGGACACTCCAGTACATTAACACTGCACTGAGAGAGAGGGGTTAATACAGACAGACACACTGGACACTACAGTACATTAACACTGCACTGAGAGAGAGGGGTTAATACAGACAGACACACTGGACACTACAGTACAACAACACTGCACTGAGAGTGAAATAAATGATGGATGAGAGATAGATAGACAATTAACTGGTCTCTTTTAACATCAATCTGTCCATGTTCATCAGTCTCTCTAAGTAACTTACCCCGGCAGTGAGGTAGACAGGAACAAACAACCACCCTAACAGCAGCACAATAAACAGAGCCTGCAAGAAAAGGAAAGGTTATCGACCCATCTCCCTTCTACAGCTGGGTTGAAAATTCGTTTCTTTTCACCTCACTGTTACAGAGACACACTACATCCAGAAATACCCTCCCCACCCAGTCACACACACACATCTGACACACATCCAGTCCACACGACAAACACCCAGATCTCACCCCCCACACCCGACACGCACATCGGGAATAACGTGGGCTTTTCTTTAAACAAAATGCGGATATCTTGGACTGGACTGGTGGCTATGCACTCCAGCAGGTTCTGGACAGTTCAGAGCTCTGATCTCTTCCAAGCAAGGCTGTGGGCTGGACCTGCAGGTCCACTCCTGCCCCTAGGCTTCAGAAGGGCTGAGATCGGGACTGGTCTGTCTCCTGCTCCTCAACCCAACCTCTCATTGCCTGCCCCCCCGAAAGAGCCCCTTCATTCGACTGGGGTATCTAATATTTTGGCCAGCGTGTGCATATCTTGTGAAGTAGATGGGTTTCACTCTGGCAGACTCCAGGCCCTGTGCAGTGAAGTCAAATTCACAACTGCATCTATAACGGCTGTCACTGTCAGAAACGAGACTCTGTCACGATATGGAAGAACTACGGTCTTGAAAAGAGATGACTTACGTTCCACTCAAATCCTCCAACCGCGATCCCACTGGCTGCACCAGTGCCGGCCAAGCCCACGAAGTGTCCACTTCCGATATTGCTGGCAAAGAGAGAGGCTCCCACCTCAAAGAGAGAGAGAGGTCAATACAGACACACTGACTGGACACTCCAGTACATTAACACTGCACTGAGAGAGAGGGGTTCATACAGACACACTGACTG